GCCACCTTTCCTGCTGCAGAAGTCAACAACTGACATGTTTATAATATTATAATAAGTCTACTAGATTCTAATAGAAGGAAGTATGCTTACAGAGATACTTGTAATGATCTTAGGAAAGATTTAATTTTTTAAGTCTTTATTACTAAGAGTAGTTAATTATTAGCTTCACCTATAATAGATATTTAGCTCTGCTGCAGAGATAATTAACTTGTAGTGGTTAGAATGATAATTACAGTGAAATGGGAGGTGTGTTTACATTGCAGTATTAGCAGATTCACAATGGAAACTATTTTTATTAAAATACTGAAAGAGTACCCGTTTAATTTAGAATAGGGTAATCATAACTGTATTCATAGGACAGCAGTTTGGTTGAGTTAATTAATTCTTCCTTGTCTCTTGTAGGGAAGGAGAAGCAGATCAGGGCAATGCATTAAACGAATCCCAGCCAGAAGAAGCAACAGAGAATGACCTGCAAGAGGAAAAACTGCCACAATATGATGCCGAAAACACCAATGTCCTCAGTATGGCTATTGACAGACAAGAAACGACAGATGCAGAGAAGCAGAAGCTGACCCGAGAGGAGGAGAGGCAAAAACTGCACACCCAACTCCAAAGTGCAGAAGAGAAAGTCCAGAAAGCTCAGGCTGAGGTGGGTTATGACTGCCTATGGAAAGCTAGCATTTTTCATAACCTTCTCATGTTTTTTTCATAACCTTCTCATAACCTTCTTGTTTTCCCTTAAACTCTTCTGATCAATCTTGTTTTTATTTTCTCCGCAACAATTTTGAAGCAAACAAACGTTGGTATGTAGTTTGTGTTTTCAAACCAACCTCTTATTGTGAACAGGGCCATCCCTACAGGGCTACACCTTTAGTAGCCTCAGGTGGCATCTCATTGGGTCAAGAGGGGGGGGGGGCGGTTTCCAGGTCAGAGCGTCCCAGGTTGCTAATTTGAAATATGCTGTTCCATTTGCGCGTGCAGCTGAAAGCATATACGGCCAATTCAAACTTGGCCTTGTTTCTAACAGCAGCCCATTCACGTGGAAACATATTTCAAGAAGAGCAATTACAACAGAAACAATTATTGCTATAAGAAGCTCCCATTCATGTGCCAGTTTTCCCCGTTCAATTAATGTTTATTAAGGATTTCAAAATTTCAATACACAGCAAGCACACAAAATATTTGGTACTCAACATTTACAGTAAATAAACAAAGCTGGTGCAATAGATGGCCAGTAGTGGTAACAGACACCAAATACAGAATCATGAAATAATAACCAAAAGAAATATGAAAGCAATTATAAATACAATACAATAAAATCCCAAACATAAGCAGTGGATCAAAGGATAGGGAAAGGGACCAGAAGGGATTTAAAGCCACAAAGTAGCCGAAACACAACTGAGCACTTTTTTATAGATCCGTTCTTGGATTTTCATTTCCCACTTTGCATAGAGCATGAATAAAATAAGCCATGGTTTACACCTAGGCAAAAAGCGCTTTTAACTGCCCAACACAAGAAATATTTGGGCGGATGTCGCATGGTTTGGGAACCATAGACATGTCTCTGCATGAAAACCCCGCAGAAATCCGTGAACCAAGAAAAAATATGCCATGATTTTCAATGGCCCTGGTTCACATCTGAGCAGAAAACCACCTAGCAGGAAAATGCCAGATGCCTGAAAAGATACAGGAGCGTCTTTGGGCAGTTAAAAGCGCTTTTCCTCCCCATATAGAGTTAAGTGAAAACAAATTGTTAAAAAAATAATTAAATAAATAACATTTTAAAAAATAAGTAAAAAAAATAAAAATAAATTATTACATTTAAATAAAAAGGTGATTAAAAAGTTTTAAAATGTCACGGTCCACTTGCCATGATAACCAGCTGATTGGCAGGCTTCTTCCCTACAGGGACCCGGGCTACACTGCATAGAAGGAGGACAGGAGCCTGCCAATCAGCTCATTACTATTCCCTGGGTCATATTTGGCGGGCGTACAGGGACAATGAGGGCATGCTGGAACTTGTAGTTCAATTACGACATGTCCCAGCATGCTCTCATTGTACCTCTACACCCCCACATATCACGGGGGGGCGCAAAAGTTTGTCCGGCCCCGGGCGCCGGTTACTCTGGTTACGCCACTGGGTCTCTGTACTGTGCATCACACCGCAGGTCTCTGTAATGTGCATCACACCGTAGGTCTCTGTACTGTGCATCACACCGCTGGTCTCTGTATTGTGCATCACACCGCAGGTCTCTGTACTGTGCATCACACCGCAGGTCTCTGTACTGTGCATCACACCGCTGGTCTCTGTAATGTGCATCACACCGCAGGTCTCTGTAATGTGCATCACGCCGCCAGGCTCTGTAATGTGCATCACACCGCATGTCTCTGTACTGTGCATCACACCGCACGCATCTGTACTGACAGAGTAAAGGCCGGGGCAGGGTAGGGGTTAGTGGGACAACTTGTGGTGAGTAACTATTAAGGCCTGGCTAGTAACTTAGGACTTGAAATTTGGAGCCCTGGTATGTACTTATTTGTGAATGGGCTCTTCATCATAGGCAACCACACACATCACAATCAAACTACAATACAACTAGGGATCTTATGATTGTACAGTATGATGGCTTAGAAATTACAAGAATGTAATCATTTAGCTACAAGTATGGAAAAATTTGACCACTGAAACCCTAGTTTCGCCAGTGCCAGTAGCTGCACTTAGTATCGTGGCATTTTCACCAGTGCGAGTACTGGTGAAAATGCCCAGTATTGGCACTGATGCATCCCTACTTAATATAATGTATTTCTGGGACTTGTAGTCCTGCATAGTTGGTGCTATTCTGCATTGCTGTATAATAATTATACAGCAATGCAGAATACCACCAGCTATGCAGGACTACAAATCCCAGCAATACATTCTAATGTAAATGATAATACCACCAGCTTCTCCCCACCCCCCTCTGGGCCCCCCCTGCCCGGTCGAGCCATCACCCACACCAGTCTTACCTGACTCCTGCAGCAGCTTTTTCATCTTTGGCTCCCAGGGGGCTTTACTAAGTGGAGAGGGTCCTCTCCCAACAGAAGAATGTGCTGCTTTGCGGTGCCTGCAGTGTCGGTAGCGGCTCAGCCAGGCTGAAGCTGACCGATACAGCCTCTCCATCGCCGCACAGCCACCAGTGGCAGAGCGGCTGGGGAGGGAGTGGAACTATCTCAAGGGAGCAGGAGGTGTGGCAATTCCGTCTCTCTCGGCCCCCCCAACAGGCGGAACGCCACGGCCCAGACCTCTGCGACCCTGGTAGTTCCACCAGTGCCCTAGTGATAGTGTAGCGGCAAACAGTTTTGGGAAACCAGTAATGGACTGTGGACACAGACTTCAGGAAAACAAATCTCTTTTTTATTTGCATGCAAAGACTCAGGGACTTGTGTCTCCAAAGCTGAGCCCCGTATGAAGGGCGGTCACAGCTTATATTTTAACAATTGAGTCACAATACATATCTCCTTTACACACGTTTCCTTATACAGCTCTAAGCCAATTAGCAAGCATCATTGGCAATTTTACTATATATGGATAGCATCCCCTATCTATCTGACTCATCTTGACACAAACTGCTGTTATGCACTGTTAAACAGGAAGAGATGGGTGGTGACCTAGTTATGTGCAGGTGGTGAAACTCTGAGGTCTTAACAACAAGAGCCATTTTGTGAAGCGTAGCCATTTTGGTTGCTGCCGCAATAGCTTATGTTTTTCTTGCGCAAAAAAATGCAGATTAATGCTGTATTGTAAATGGGCCCTTAGGATGCTATAAGATCATTCATGATTCATAATAGGTGCATTTGACCTGCATTTGACTTCATCTCACCTGCATTTGTTTGCTTCAAGCTGCGTTTGCATGCCCATAGATTTGTATGGTGAGAGGAGCAATTCTGACACAAACAAAAGCCCATGGACGTTGGCCTTTGGTTTTTGTTTTCTGTTTATAAATAAATGTATGATTGCAGATGGGAAGGTAGATACACATTCTTTGTAAAATTCGCTGTTCTTTTTTGAAGTGCGCTGGTCTCCTAACTGAGATTGAGGACCTGCAGGAACGCCATCAGATCAGCCAGGAGGAACAGGAGAAGTTACAAGAGGAACTGAGGTTGTGCAGAGAGGAGATTCATAGGCTGAAGGAAACTGGCTTGCAGGTAGCAATACTGCTATTTAAAAACAGGCTTTTGTTTCATTAATCCCTATTGTGTGTTACATTGTAATAATTCTTCCAGCCAGCTACCTACTCATTCTGCTCAAGCAGTATAGTATTCCCACTGCATAGCTAATGTTATTAACAACAACAGCACATCTGATACTGTTCCATTATTATTACAGGTATTTATATAGTGCTGACAATTCACACAGCACTTTACATAGTTGCACATTCACATCAGTCCCTGCCCTCAAGTAGCTTACAATTTAAAGTCCCCATTTCACATACATACAGGGCCAATTTAGAAAGGAGCCAATTAACCTACCAGGATGTATTTTGGACTCTGGGAGGAAACCCAGGCAAGCACAGGGAAAACATGCAAACTCCTTGCAGATAGTGTCCTGACCGAGATTTGAACTGGGGACCCCCCAGTGCTGCAAGGCAAGAGTGCTAACCACTATGCCACTGTACTGCCCACTAAGCCACTGTGCTGCCCATTATGCCAGGTACCCTGCTTGTATGCACTTTCCAGTGTGAGATTGTATTACACTGAATATATGTGCATTAGAAGCACAGCCAGATATAAAACTTTGGAACCTTAACCTTTGCCAGTCAACCACATTACAGGTACAAAGTACACGCACCCAGAGGTGCCCTCCTGGACCTGCTACAGCCTGCTGTGTCCCTCCTATGCCTGAATGCTGGGCCTCTCTGGAGGCAAATATTCACCACTTTCTGATAGCTGAAAGCTTGCCTGTCTCTTCCATCCTCTCACATGTTCCTATTGGCCACTGAGGCAGTAGACCAAATTAATGGGCCAATAGGAATGTGTGGGGCAGAATGGGAATGGACAAGCTTTAACACTTTCCTTGGGCTCCTCCACCTAATATCCCTGTTAACTGAAGTGCCATGTTGTCATATCCCATGTTAATGAAGTGCCATGTTGTCATATCCCATGTTAATGAAGTGCCATGTTGTCATAACCCATGTTACTGAAGTGCCATGTTGTCATATCCCTTGTTATTGAAGTGTCATGTTTTCATATCCCATGTAGTTAAGGTGCCATGTTGTCATATCCCTTGTTACTGAGGAGCCATGCTATCATATCCATGTTACTGAGAAGCTATGCTGTCATATCCCATGTTACCGAGCTGCCATATTGTCATACCCCATGTTACTGAGGTGTCTTGCTGTCATGTCCCATGTTACTGAGATGCCATGCTATCATATACTTGGCTATTAAAGTTACATGTTGCTATGATAAAATGTAAATTGGTTCCCATGTTATACAAATATCATGTTGCACTATACCATGTAAATAAGGTGCCATGTTACACAGATGTTGTGTTTATGTCATGTTAATGGGATGCCATGTTACCATGTACCATTTTATTCAGGTGTCATGTTACACAGTGCCATGTTGCCATATACTGTGTTACCGAGTTGCCATGTTGCCATATACTGTGTTACCGAGTTGCCATGTTACACATTACTATGTTACTATATCCTCTTATTTAGTGGCTATGTTACACAGTGCCATGCTGCCATGTACCATGTTACTGAGGTGCCCTGTTACCATATACTGTGTTATTGAGGTACCACGTTGCCATGTACCATGCTACTGATTGGCCATGTTATACAGCATACAGTACTTTGTTGCCATATATCATGTTATTGAGGTGCTATGTTATACAGTGCCATGTTGCCATGTACCATGTTACCGAAGTGCCATGTTACCACATACCATGTTATTAAGGGGCCACGTTATACAGTACAATGTAAACAGATACAGTACCATGTTATTGTAACATGTTACCATATGCTGTGTTGCTGAGGTGACATGTATACAGTCCAATGTTGCCATATACCATGTTATTGAGGTTCCACATCACATACTACCATGTTACCATAAATTGTGTTGCTGAGGTCCCATGTCGCACAGTACCATGTAACCATATATCATGTTATTGAGGTTCCATATTACATAGTACCATGTTACAATTGACTGTCTTACTGAAGAGCCATATTACACAGTACATCAGTACCACATTAAGAAACATTATTTTAGTTGGGTGGAGAAGGGTTAAAACATCTCTCTGGTTTTTATTGTTGTCTTTCTGTTAAATCTAACATATGGAGATATTAATAAAAACCTGCCAGGGGTTATATGCCATTCTGTCATGAACTGATGGCTGGAGTAGAGAGTTACTATGTTAGGCCCCATGGACAAGATAATTAAAATACATAAGTCACAGTGCGTTTGGTGCTCATTTCTAAAGTCATCTGTGAGCATGTAATGCTTTCCTATAGGTAAATCCACACCTAGATGTTCAGCAGTGTCTAGGTGCATTCAGTCAAACTGCATTTCCACAAACAACAATTATCTGTGTCCATTTGGCCCGGTTTTACATGGCTAAATGTATCCAATCACGGCTAAACCCCAAAACACCTAAACACAGAAAAATGTGATCCGGGAAGCATAAAACGTATTAATACTTCCCAGAAGGCCCATGTGTATGGTGCCTAGCAAAAATACAAGAATATACAGCAGATGAACTCTTTTTTTTTTTTTTTTGCATATACAGCTAACAATATAGCCACAACGTAACTACAAATCAATCATGCTATTTTAAGCCCATCTGACATGAACAAAATGACACAAAAACTGCTGACAGTTATTAGGTGTAAGTGCCTAAAGGCTCCTATACCTGTAGGTACCTTAAGGCTCCTGTAGATACCTGCAGCATATTCAAAGACCTGTAATTATGCCCAAATGCTGGCCTACATGGACAGGCAAAACCCCAACACGTCCTCCTAATATTAAAGCTTGACTGTCCCTTCTTGTCTTCTGCAAATTCCTTTTGGCCAGTGAAGCAGCTTGTCCTAGTTATGCGCTAATAGGAATGCATTGAAGAGAAAAGGCAAGCTTCCAAACCACCAGGACATGTTAAAGCTTTGCCCATCCTCAGAACAGGTTGCCACTTTACCATAATGGTAATGGCAGCTTTGAGGCTGCTGCAGGTATGTGAATAACTAGGTACATAACAGCAAGCCCCTTACTCTACCATGACGGTTTTCTTTAACGGTTGGCATTGTTTTTCAATCTTCTTTTACCATTCACTATAAAAGGTATTCTGGCTATAAACTAAATGTGCTGATGTTCTATGCATGTATCATCTGACTCTTTATACATTATTAATCTTACAGCTGCACATTGCTCGCATGTAGTTTTGGTTGCAGACAGTCACGCATTATATTTTGCTGCTAACAATCTGCACCTCTTTACACTAGGCTACAAATCTAGTAACTCAGAAAAATAATACTGTAAATGAAGTTTGATTTTATACAGTATCCCTTAAAGGAAACTTGTCATTAGAGAAAAATGTGGTCTGGTTTCAATACTTTTTAACTCATACAACCAGAACAAGCATGAAACAAAAAGAAGATTGAGAAAAGTCAAAAGTCTGATCCCTCCGGAACTAGTGAAGATATTGAAGCCAAAACATCAGCATGACAGCCAGGCAACAAACATTTTTAGAATGAGATGTCAGCAATGGCAGTCTCTATATTTCTCTAATGACGGGTTTCCTTTAAACTGACCATTTTCTCTCCAGTCTATCTGATGAAAGGGCATTCCATTTATGCCTGGATTTATTCAGGCAAAGAACGTAGAAAGTTTGTGACTCTTTACGAAACAATTGTAGTAGAACATCTCACACACTTCTCATTAACTGAAAACCAAATTTAGAAATAAATCTAACATTGTGCTGTGATTTTGATACTATGGACCTGTGTTAATGTGTCAGTACTAATGGACTTACTGATACTGCAAGGGTTACGTTTAATTCTGCTCGGGGTTCCGCTTTAAAGCTTCCCGTTATAGTAACAAAGCTGATGTCCTCACTGACAGAAGCTCTTTCTTTTTGACTAGAACAATACAGAAATGGATATTGGTCTTCTGCACTAGAGAAAGCCCACAATCTGCTTGCTGAGTATCAAGCTGAGACTGCTTGAATCAATTCTGACAAATATACATAAATATCTAGCCATAGATATTAGTTTGCAATCTTTAGAAGAGCTCTTCTAAAATATGTACAATTATTTCATCCAAATTTGCATGTTTATGCTCCAGTCAGACACCTTGTGAAAGGCTTTATTGCAGGGAAACAATAATGACTGTCCACAGCCTTTCTTAACTAGGGTTCCCTAAAAGGTTGCTAGGGTTTCCATAATAGGACAGCATTGTTGAATTAATTTCCAGTCTGATGGTGCCCACATTGTTCAAAGATCAACAACACAGCCATCAGCATGGGACCAGTGGCGCCTCTTCTCTCATCTTAGAGGTAGGTAACCATTGACACCAATGATCCTTTAAGCTACCTGTAAGCGTGGCATTCCTTTCCACGGATCTAGAAATATAAATTTTGACCAGTTTTCTACCTAATAGAAATTTTGATTTGTGTGGATGTGTCATTGCTGAAATAAAATATAATTGTTTTTTCAGGATTACTGTGCATGATTGCTCACCGAATAAGGGCAAAAGAGTTACAAACTTTCTTCTAACACTGCAGTAGCAGTACAAACACACAATGGCTTTCTAATATGATTGTTAAAGCTTATCTCCAGGAAAAAAACTCACCTTGCAGTAGGTGTGCCGCGTACTGCAAAGGTTACCTGCTCGTTTAGGTCTAGGGTATCGGGTAAAAGACTTTTACTTTGCTGATCCCCTCTCCTGCTGGCTCCAAGACCAGCACTCACAGCCTCTTCCCCCCTCCAGTGGTTGGATTACATCATCATCACATACAATCCAGGGCCCATAGCCCTGCATTATACATGAGGATGCTGAGGGACAGTCCACAAGCTGGATGGTAGAGAAGACAAGAAGCGCTGACTGCTGGTGGAGTGAGGATTAGGTAGGTAAAATTGCTATACCTGATACCTTAGATGTAAATAAACAGTTAATCCTTGCAGTGCGGGGGCATCCTCACTGCGAGTTTGTTT